GTGGTATTTAGAAACTCTTTCAAGAGGGATTTTGCATTGAGGGGAACCTAGTGACAGGTTCAGGAAATGGGAGTGCTGATGCCTCTCACAGGAGGTACTTGCCTTGTGTAAGGTAGAATCCCGGGAGGGGGAGGGTGAAAGGCAGGCAGAACAGTAAAGGTGACCCAGGCAGTTGCAGCACATCTAGACCCCAACATGCCTGTGGCTCTGCCTGCATGGGCTGGGAATATTGGAGAAGGAAACCAACTGGCAGCTAGGGTGAGTGGTTGGACTAGGATCACTCTCTGAGACTGCCTTCCAGTCCTGACATTCTAGAACTTCATGAACCTGATATTCTCAGACTCTTAAGAACTGATTTAACTGAGGGTATTATTTTTTAGTCTTCAGCATGGGAAACAATTCTTATGGGCAGTGTGGAAGAAAGGTGGTTGAAAATGAAATTTACAGGTGAGGTCCTGAAAAAACTTCTCTTTCCCCCAATTGTGTTAAGTACTAAACATTTCTTGAATGATTACTGTGTGATAGAGCCACAGAGCAGTAAGCAAGATTCCTCGTGTGTGAGGAGCAGTGAGAACTCTCCGGAAAGCTGTGGAGAGGATTGTTCCACTGCTGGTTGAGCTTTCCACATGAGTTTGGTGGAAGGGGAGGGCCCGTGAGCATTGATTGTAATGTGTAGAACTTCTTTCAATTAGTTTTGTGTTTTTAACCAAATTGATTAACTTCAAAAATTCTCCTCTGTTTCAGTCCTATTCATTTAGTCTTAAAAAAAATTTACCCTTAATTCCTTGCATTATGCTGGTAGTTCTAAATACCAGTGTCAACTCTGGCAGCATATGAAAATCAGCAAAGAATTTTGTTTGTTTTGTTTTACTTTCATGTCTAGGTCTAACTCTGCCTTATATCCGACCTTGAGAGTTTCCCTAATAGTTACTGTGGCGGGGTGGGCAGTATTAGGAGTGACAGGGAAGGAGTCAGAACCCCACGGTACCACCATGACCATATCTCTTGTTTCTCCCCAAATGGTTCCCGGCTGTAGTGAAAGTCACAAAGTCCATAGAATGCAGGACTTCGATGGACAGGTGGTCCAGGTAAGAGGTATGGGCTGAGAGCCATTCATCCTGCCTCCTGGGGCACTTTTGAAAGGGAGTGATGGCAAATTTGATAGGCAGATTTTCTTAATTATTTTAGTGAAGATTATATTGTCTGCATACTATAAGCCAGGATTTGTGGTAGATCATGAGGGTACAAAGTTTAATAAGTTTGGGGAGATAATACTCTAGTGGGGAAGACAGGTTAAAAAAAAAACTAGCTGTATCAGAGTGTATCACAGCACTGTGTATCCCCCAATTGTGTTTTGTCTTGCTTATCATTTGTCTTGCTTATCATTTTATTCCCAACCCTAGTGCAGTGTCTGGCACATGGTAGGTACTTATAATAAGTACCTGAATACTAAACACATAAGTGAATGTATGTAAAAAGTGCTATAAGAGTACCAAAAAGGGAATCGTTTAGCAAGGGTGGAATGGAAGGGAGAGAAGGCATCGTGGAGGAGGTGGCAGAGGAATTGACCGGATAGTCCTGGCATGGGTGGTAGGAAAAGTTTTCCGAGAGGAGGGAGCAGCTGGAGGCTTTAACCGCTGAGAAAGTGCAGTGTGGCTGGAGTTTGGTATGCTTACAGGGGAGTGTTGTGGGATAGGCTGGAAGATAGGTTCAGAGTGAACAGTGCAGGGTCTTGAATGTCTTGCTAAGGAGTTTAGACCTTATCCTCTTGACGGTTGGGGCCTATCAAAGGTTCTAAGCAGGGGGAGTGACAGCAAATCATGATCTATTTAGAAAGATAATTTTGGCCATGATGTGGAGGTTAGTCGGGGGAGGAAGTGATGACGGCTGCTTGAGAAGCCACGGGGAAAAGGGACAGGTGGGAGATGTGTAAGGAGAATTGACTGGATTTGAGGTTCGATTAGACGGGCAGGGAATGAGCTGGAAGGAGTTGAGTGTGACTCCATAGACAGATGAGTGGCTGCTGATGTTCTCAACCCAGATTGGGGCAAACTGTAGGAGGAGCAGGCTTGGGTTGGCTGGGAGGGGGAAGTGAAGAAGAG